GGTTCTTGCTCTTGGCCAAGATATTGAGACATTTATTTTACTTGCTGTTCAGCATTCATCACATCTGACTGCCCAGGAAAAGGGCACCAAGGAAGAAATCAAATTCATCCTTCCTCTTTTTGCCAGCCCCTATTCAACCTTCTTCCTACCCTCTCCCCTCAGTCAAGAGGAATGAATTTCTAAAAATATTCCATGGATAGCACCAGGATGTAACTCAGTGGTGCCACACCTCCCTTTCAAACACAAGGTCCTGAGTTCAGACCCTAGTACCTAATTTATTAATTAAAAATAATACATGGAAAATAATTCTTGCAACTACTTCAGAAACGTGTTTTCTTTGTATGCAAGAGTCAAGCAAGTATCAAGGCACCAGGGCCAGGGCAGGAGAGTCACCTTGGAATGGTCCCTAACAAAGCAACCTAAAGTGCACTCGAGTCTCCTTGATTTTTTGACTGTCAGGGTTAAAGTGTGATTTTACCAGAGAGGTTTATTGAGATAGACTTTCAAAAGCAAGTATTTATTGGGCACTTAATTTTTGCCTGGCAATATGTTAGGTGCTACAGAAATGACTTGATTCCTGGTATCTTGCAATCTAGCAGAGTACAATTGGAGACAACTATTAAATTCATAATATTCAAGGAGCCAGTTCATTTATAGGTAGAATAAACCTACAAACGAAGTACCACAGGTGTTGTGAAGGTGAGCACTAGGGGGCTTGACCTGGATGCGGGTGAGCACAACTTCTCCAGGGAAGGCCTAAGAGACTTAAACGATGTGGTGTTAAGAAGTAGGGCATTATACAGATGGAGAATCTTCAGAGGGATGAATCTTGATACAAGTGAAGCAAAGTAGGTGGAGTTATATCAGCCTGTGTCCCTGAAAAGTTTGACCAAACATTTGAATGGAGCAGAAGTTGTGCAGAGACTATACATGCAAAAAAATCATTGAACTGAGATGTGCCTAGACTTCTTAATTTTCAAGTTCTTTTCTTAAGTACGTAAGGCTATAAATTTTTATAAGAATCACTGCAGCTTCACATGCACACAGAAACACACACACACACACACACAGAATTCTTATGTTGTTCCATCATCTGCATTCTAAATATTCTCTGATTTCCATTGTGTTTTTTTAAATCTATAGGTTAAGCCTCTGTGTGTTTGTTTTTAAAGACTGTGGCTGTTTTCTAGATTCTTTTTTGTTTTTATTTAGATTAATGTTACTGTGATAGAGAATGTTGACAATGCCATGTGAATACTTCAAAATGTGGAACATTTTTCACAAACAAGTGTTGAGATTTGCTTTACAGTCTAGAATTTAGTAATATGTATAAATGTTCTATATTGCTTCCAGACAATACATTCTGCATTTGTTAAGTTCATTGTTCCACATACTACACCTATTAAATAAAGCTAATTTATTGTATGTAGTCATTTTCTAGGGCAGCCACAGCAAAGTACTGGAGATTGAGTGGTTTAAACAGCATAAATTTATTCTCTCACAGTTCTGGATGCTGAAGGTCAGAGATCAAGGAAAGTAACAGGGTTCATTTCTTCCAAGACCTCTCCTTCTCTTGTGGTAACCTTCATCTGTCTTAACAGGGTGCTTTATTTTAAATGCAAATATCCTCTGCTTATAGGAATACCAGTCCTGTTGAATTAGAGCCTGCCCCTAAAAACTTCATTTTAACAAATTTACCTCTTTAAAGACTGTTTATTATTCAAATATGGTCACTTTCTGAGATAATGGCAGTTAGAACAGATAAATTCAGTTTAGAGACACAATTCAATCCATAACATATACTTTTCAAATTCTTCATACCCTTAAAAAAATTTTTTTGCTTGCTTCATCAGTCACTTACTGAAAGAATCATTTAAATTTTCTACTGTGATGATAGATTTTTCCATTTAAAATTCCATCAATTTTCACCTCAAATATTTCAAGGTTATGTTATTAGAGTATCTATGTTGAGAATATTTATACCTACTTAGTTAATCAAGCATTTATTATTATGCAGTCACTCTCTAGCTCTAGCAATGCTTTGGTCTTATATATTGTTTTGTTAAAATGAGATTATATCAGCTTTCTTTTTGTGAGTATGTGGTAAATATGTTTCCATCCTTTTACTTACATCTGTATCTTCACGTTTTTTTTAAACATGTCTTTGGTAAATAGAATATAGCTGATAAAATTTTAAATGGAGCATTAAGTACAGCACATGACAGATTTTGATTTTTCTAACTTTCTTTTTGTGAGAAACAGCATTAGTCTTCGAAAGAACAGGCTCTGAGAAATATTGCCCAGATAATGAATACCAGCTCTACTACTTACTACCAGTGAAACTTCAGGCTAGTGAGACAACAGTCAGTGCTCCTCACAAGTTTCCTCATCTGTAAAATGGGTATAATAGACACCATACCTCATAGTGCTATTACTATTACATGAGTACAATGGAGCTTAACTGTCAAATTGACTGGATTGAAAGACTCCTGGAGAGGTGACTGGATCATGGGGATGCTATACTCATCAGTGAAAGGATCCAGTGATGTTCATAGCTGACTGTGCTATTAGGAGTCCAGAGGGGGGAGGGTCATTAAGGTCATGCCTTTGGTGGGGGGTGTATCTGTCCTGGCTATCCTTCCCTGGGCTCTGATTCCTAAAGCAACCAGCTTTGCTCCACCAAGCCATTCCACCATGATATTCTGCTTTGGAGCCAGGTGACCATGGACCAAACCCTCTGAAACCATGAGCTAATGTAAATCTCTCCTTTAAGTTGTGAATGATAGGTATTTGTTCCTGGCAATGGGAAAGCTCACCAGTACAGTGAATTAATGAACATAAAATATGGTTAACAGTGCTGAGCACATGCTTCTTGTTAATATTTTTTTTATTATTATTGTCACTGCAAATTGACATTTTTCTATGGTTCTCCTTTCTTTCAGCTTGATGGAGTATATTTTTCTTATTCCATTTTTTTCCCCTTCTCTGGTTTAGAAACTTTATTCTTTGTTTTATCCTGTTAGGATTACTTTAGAAAATTAAAAGCATACTTCAGTTATCAAAGTTTAAAATTCATTATTTTACCTTCCTCCTAAAACAGATTTTTCTATTAATTTAATACTGATATATACTATTTTGTATTCTAGTTTTACCTCAATTTAAATTTCCCAAATTACTATTGTTGCTTTGTATAGTCAATAATTAGTTTCTACTCACATATTTATAGTTTTTTTTTGTTCATCATTCTTTTGCTGCTCAAGTTACATCTTTTAAAATGAAATATTCTGGTGACAAATTTTCAGTTTTTATTTCCTGGAGATATCTTTATATGTGCTTTTTAAAAAGGAACTATGAGTTTGTAAACAAATTTAGATGGATAGTTATCTCCTTTCAGCAAATTAGAATAAAATTACATGGTCTTTTGACTTCCATATTTGCTATTGAGTAGACTGATTTCAAAACCACTGTCTTTATTAGTCTTTGTTGTCATCAAGGTGTTTCAAATATGGATTTCTCTTTAATTTATCATGGTTGATTCTTGGACCTGTAGATTGGTTTCTTTTCAGTTTTACAAAATTCTCAGCCATCAGTTCCTCAAATACTGCCTCTCTTTTTTTATTTCTTTCTGAAAGTCATATTAGACACAGGTTAGATCTTATCACTCTATTCATTTATTTTATCCTCTGCATATGTTATTTTTTTGGCTCTGCATTATTACATTCTGGATAATCTCTTTAGAAATGTATTCTACTTCATTAGTTGACTCTCCAGCTTTTAAACTCATTCATCAAGGTTTTTTATTTCAGATGTTTTAATCACTCTCTCATATATCTCTGTTTTTCTGTGAATCTCTCTCATTTTGAACTAGGTCCATGTGAGGTCATTCATTTCTGCTAGGTGCCTAGAAGCACATCTTCCATGTATTACTTTAAGCTAAATTATCGTTTTAGGATTTCTTAGAACACATGGATATTGAAAACTTTGCCAATTGGTGTGCTCATTGACTTGCCACTAAACATTTTTTTAGGACAGCTCCTTTAACTCAGCACCAAAATTCAAGACTAACAAATCTCCTTGAAAATTTAAGAGTACAGTGGCTTAGAGAGAACATAACTGCTTGAGATCACTAGCTTTATGTGAAGAGCTTCCTGTGAGACTCTCCACCTAAGTAAGCCCTGGGTCTTGACTCCTGTCCCAAGGTGGACCATGTTTGTAATTATACACTATGAAATTCTAAGAGATAGCTTTCAAATGTGTGTGAGTGTGTGTGTGTGTGTGTGTGTGTGTGTGTGTATGTGTGTGTGTGTTCTTAATGAAAGTGATTCCTGGAGTTCTACAGTGTCCAGTCTGCATAACTATATATGGTGGCCCTATTTCATCCCTATGTGTTATGATTTATATGTAGATGCCCCCCACCCCAAAGCCACATGCACTCAAAAGCAAGGCTTTGGAAGGTGATTGAATTACAGAAGCATTTGTTATACCTGACTTACTGTTAGCAGGTGGGGTCTGGTCAGAAGAGGCAGCAGATATCTGTGTACATCAACTGCAAGGATCTCTCTCTCTCTCTCTCTCTCTCTCTCTCTCTCTCTCTCATCCCCTTTCTTTCTGGCTGCTATGATGTGAGCAGCTTTCCTCCACCAATGCTTCCGGCCTTGGAGCCAGCCAACTCATGAGCCAAAATAAACCTCTCCTTTTAGTTGCAGGTATCAGGTATTGTGTCTCAGCTATGAGGTAAGTGACTCAGACACCACAATCATCACCACTGGCACTGGTGAAAGCAGGGTTTAAAGCTTCAGCTTTATAATTCTGTAACAGACAGAATTTGAATGAAGAATATACTATCTCTCCCCCTTTTGAAGTCCTTTAGAGGGTGGGTATTTTAAGGTCTTAGGAATTGAATTGATTTGTTAATTATCATTTCAACAAAAATTTACCCCAGTAAAGGAAATGTAAGTTAGTAAAAGGAGGGTTTACTGTTTCTCTTTGTTTATTTTTAGATGTGGACTTTCCAGTTGTTCTTCAGCCTACAAATGCAAATGAGAAAACACAGCTAATCCAAGGACCTCGAAGTTATTGCACAGATTCTTGATTCCTAGTCTCCTGAGGGTCCACAGTACTTCTTCTCTATTCAGTTATTTCTCTAGGTGGACATGAGGAGGAGAAGGTCGTGAAATGCTGGAAACTTTTTGAAATTTGTGTTTTGCTTTAGGTTAGGAGTAAATTATTGTTATGTAATTTTCTCAGAATGCAGACTTATTCTTTGAGTAAAACTTCCTAATGAAACACATTCAATTTTGCTGAATAAAGGCTCATTTTATGGTCTTTCAGTGAGGTTAGACCATGGCATGGGAGAGTCTTTATGAAACTACCCTTCATGTGAGCTAGACTTTTGTCTCAGACTAAAGTAGTATTTCCAAACAAAAAACACTTTTCATCCATTTAACTAAATGCAGTATTTGCTTATGCTGCAAATAACAGAAAAATATACAAGAGAATTTGGAAAGATATTTTTGCACATGGAACTCGCAATATTCAGCATGTAACAGAAATATTTCAAAAGGCAGAAAGAGATGATTAAATTTAAAAGGCAGATCCCATGTTTAAAGTATATTTTTAGAAGACTAAAAATTGGCATTTACTGAAAATGGACAAGTAAAACCAAGAAAAAGGTTTTGTGTCTGCTTTAGTTAGCTTAAAAACAAAAACTTCAACCTGGCTTAATCTTATATATAATCCAGAAAATTGTCCTAAGCCTGTATCAGCCCCAATGTGTTGACCTTTTTTTTTTTTTTTTACTAGAATAATCTATATAACTGGCCAAGATTAACTATTCTAAGGAAAGGAAATATATGAGATAAAGGGTAGAATTCTAAACTCAATAATATAAATTTATATTTAGAGGCATATCATCCCATTTTTAATAGAATTAATTACACTGAGCAGAAAATGCTCAGCATTGTGCATTTTGGGCAAATCTAAACTCAGAAGTCATGTCTGCATTTTCTTGTTTGATTCTTCCAGTCATCGTGTGGTAGAAACCATTGCTATTTCTGAAATGGTGCAGCAGCAAAGCTGTTTTTACTGAGTCTTTCTTAGTTCTTTATATAATATTGCATTTTCAAGATCTTGTTATATTTTTATACAATTTTGCATGAAATGCTATTTCTTTTTTTTTTCTTTCTTATTCCTCCATCACCAAATTATAGTCAATTACTGCTAAATATATATTGTAAGTGAAAATTAGTATTATAGTTCTGACAGTTCTGAAGCCATTAAAACTTTATTCAAACTCTTAAATTACTGAAATTATTATTTTTACGTAACCAAACAGGAAAAGCCTTGGTTTGAAAGTTGAGAAACCCATTCTGATCTAACCACTCACTAACCCTGGCCCCAGTGAGGTGATAATGAGAAAGCTAATCTCCCTGTGACTCTGATTTCATATCTGCACTGACTTTCTGTGTTGCTGTGAGTCCTGACGAAATACCTGACATGAAAGAACTTGAAAAGTCAAGTGTTTAAGAAATGTGAAATGATTTTACATGAATATGGATATGTTAACACAGACATATATAATGTGCTTTCTTGTGCACATAAAAACTCTGTCTGTGGTGGTGCATGCCTGTAATCCCAGCACTCGGGAGGCTGAGGCAGGAGAATCACTGTGATTACGAGATCAGCCTGGGCTACATAATGAAGTAAGACCCTGTCTCAAAAAAAAAAAAAAAAAAAAAACTGTCAAAGGGATTTTCACTCCCATTCATTATCTTTCAATAACGTAGTTTCAAAATTTTTACTTGAAATAATTTTGGTTCAATTTATCTGCAATTAATTTCCAAAACTGAATCTATGATGCACACATCTTTGCTTAAAAATCTTGGGCTGGGGATTTAGCTCAGAAAAAAACTCTGTCACCCATTGAGACCCATGAAGATATCAGTACTAATAGCCGTAATAACTACCAAAATGCTTGGAACTCTGTATTCAACAAACAAATGCTACTTTGCATTTGGCGGAAATAACAGGCTAGATAGCCTAATCTGTGGATAATTTCAGGCACTATTATTTCCTTCCTGTGTTCTCTCTAAGCAAAAGTCAGGCTTATTTTGAATAGCAACTGACAACTCACAACACTAAGCTCTTTTCCTCCAGGCCTCCTTTCCTTTCTCACATAAATTTTTAGTCCCAGTCTCAGCTTTTCCAGGGAGCCGGTCCAACAGTGGATGAATCAGAAACAGAATCAGATGGCAGAATCAAATTCCAGGGGGTTCTAGCCAATGTTCTCCATAGAGAGCCAGTTTCTGGTTACAACCATTCAAGTACATAACCACCCATGAATGAGGGAATGAAGGCTGAAGAATGCGCCTCAGCTAAAGGAAAAAAAAGGTGGCAGTCTTCATCTGAGAAGATGTGTAAGCAACTTGTGGAGGTCATCAGGAGCTGCCATCCAGAAATACCTAAATTCACTGTGAATCCATAGCACTTTAGCTGGGAAAGGTCAAGGAATAAAGGGATATGCTGAGCCTTGGCCATTGTCAAGCATAGCAAATGAACACCCCACTCAAAGGCTCCTACCTATTCCTGGGCACCGTGCTACTAGAGTGGGAGATTTCATTAAAAATTTTGCAAGTTATAGATTTATATGATAATAAAAAAGTATATTCAGTTATATTTACCAAAATAAGTATTTTAATTTTTTTGAGAATTACATCTATTTCTTCTACATTTCAAATTGTAAATAGCCTAAAACATGTTGGATATGGCCTACCTAGACTGGAAATGCACTTACCCTGATAGTGTACTGCCTGATTCTATGACTTGTAGAAAGTGGAGGAAGATTAAACTAGGGCTGTAGAATCTCTGTGATAGGCATGATGAAGATCCCCCAGGATGTACACATCTTGATTCCAGGCCCCTGTGAATATATCAGCTTTTACAACAAAAGAGCCTAGGCAGATGTGATTTCATGGACCTTGAGATGGGGATTTCTGTGTAGCCACATAAATCCCTGAAGTTGCTTTCCTGGATAAAGGGGAAGGGTAGAGAGGCTAGAGCAAGAAAGGAGAGACTACAAATGAATGATCAGAGAGATGCCACTGAACCTGAGAGAGTGATCAGAGAGGTGCTTTTAAGATAAGAAAGGGAGCCATTAGCCAAAAAAATGAAAGCTGCCTACAGAACCTAGAAAATTCAAGAAAATGGATTTTCTGATAGGGTCTCCAGAAAGAAACAATACCTACCAGCAACACCTAGATTTTTGGCTCTCATACTTCTGACTTTCAGAGCCATCTGATTTTTGTTTTGTTTTGTTTTGCTTGTACCGAGGATTGAACTTGGGAACCTTGGGCTTGCCAGGCAGGTAGCAGAACCACTGAGCTAAATCCCCTTCCCCAAGAACCACCTGATTTTTAACAATGTGGATGCAACTCACTTGTTTCTTCATTGTCCTACATATTCTTTATTCTATATTTCATTTTTCAATCCCTCATTCTGAGTCTGTTTTTCATTCCTCCTTTTCCCCTTCTTTCCCCTATTTCATGAGTACATCTCCTTCTATGTCCTTTCTCTCACTTCCATTTTTCTTCTATCTGACCCACATTTCTTTGTTTTAGTTTCCTAATCTCTTATCTCTATTGTGAACATTATATCTACATGCTGGTCCACAGATAAACTGAACTGTTGTGAATCTCCCCAGGCTCATGAGGAAAGCCTCAGTAAGGGAAGGGGAAGGAAGAGGAAAGGGGATGAAAAAACTTAAGGTCTGTTATGTACATGTATCAACTTCCCACAGAAATGCAAACATTATGTACTACATACATGCACTAGTAAAAAAACTAAATGTTAAAAAATGAAATAAAAATAATATTCTTAAGGGAATGTCTCTCCCACCCTCAACTTCAAGCACAAATAGTCACAATGTTAATAGGCAAAGGGGGACAAATGTATTGTTCTGATAAATTTTTCAATGTAATAACAAACATAAATAATTTGCAGTGATGATATTCATTATTTGAATGTAACGGCCCGGTAACTTATTGAGATAATCATTTGTTTTATCCTTTTTCTTTAAGAGATGAAAAAGAATGAAGACTTTTTTTATTAGTACATGTTCACAGCTCAAAAGGTTTACATTCCTTGTGTGAAGTTGTTACATGTCCATAACACATTTTAACTCCTTTTTTCATCTCTTTTCCTCTCCTCTCTCTCCCTCCATCTCTTGATCCCCTTCCCATTTGAGAAAGATCTGTCTCTATTTATTATTTATCTCTTACCTTACTCTTTATCTAAAATTTGTTTTTCTCATATAGGAGAAACCATGTGATATTTAAGCTTGTATATCAGATTTATTTCACGTTAACATTGTGGTCTTAGGATAGATACATTTTCCTGCAATGACTCAAGTTTATCTTTCTTTATGGCAAAACAGTACTCCATTGTATGGAAATACCACATTTTCTTTATCTATTCTTGATGGACATACAGGCTGCTAACAAGATTTAGCTACAATGAATTGTGCTGCTATAAACATGGGTATGCATGTATCACTATAATTTGATGTGTTTAACTATTTTGGGAAGATATATAGAATGGAAATGGCTGGGTCAAGTGAAACTTGTAGTTTTATAGGGAAAGTGGGAAGGGTAGGGGAAAAGTAATAAGGGAAAATAAAAAATATGAGAAAATGAAAAAATGGAAATAAAATGTTTGTAAATGGGGAGGGGAGGAGGGGGAGAAGGGAGGGTAGGGACAAGGGGAAAAAATGAGAACCAAGACCTGTCATGTGAAGGTACAAGATCCCAGTAATGAATGTAACTGTACTATATACCTAAAAAGTACCAATAAACTCAATTTTTAAAACAGAAAAATTTCTAGTTTTAGTTTTTTGAGGAATCTATGATTTCCGTAGTGGTTATAACACTCTCATTTTGAGTCTCACTTTAAAAAGTTCACTCTTTGGGATATAATTGTATTTGGAGATAGGATCTTTATAGAATTAATTAAGATGGGGAGCTTGCCAGTGTCCCAGGCCTTCATTGGAGCAGTCCAGTGAGGACTGCCCAGCTGCATGGGGAGCTTGCCAGTACCCCAGGCCTTTATCAGAGCAGTCTGGTGACAACCGCCCAGTCACATGGGGAGCTTGCCAGAGCCCTGGGCCTTCATAGAGCAGTCTGGTGAGGACTGCCCAGCTGCACGGGGAGCTCGCCAGCACCCTTGCCTTCATCAAAGGTCAGGTGAGGACCACCCAGTTGAACCGGGAGCTCTC